TCTACTATTATTTACTTTAGTTGCAGGTCTCGTGCCACATTCAATCTAGTTAAAGCTCCCCACATCTCTGCTTTAGTGGCCATGCACCTTCCTAAATTCCTTATGAATCCTTTAATCCATCTCTCTTCCTCATTCCTCCTTAGCCCACCACAACCACCATACCTACTATTTGCTCTTGCTACCCCATCAACATTTAGTTTAAACCAACCTGTCTCAGGTTTATCTTATCTAATGCATTCTGTCACTCTCTTTTTGCCATTCAAGTTAAAACTCTATTGCAATTCCTCAATAATCTCTCACATATATTATGACTAACTCGTTTGGATCCTTGAGTATTTTGAAACCTTCCTTAGATAGACACTTATTATGTCATTACCATAATTTCTAGCATATGACTCCAAACACCATGGACCATAGTTCTTTTTTTCCATGGATAGATTCCATTTAAACTAGTTTGTTCCATTCAGTTGATAAAAATCTATACTATCATCACAATTGCCAAAACTTTTCCAAATATTTTCAGCAAAATCACAGTTTCTTAATACATGAGCTAAGTTCTCAATTTTACCTATGCAGGGATGACGATATGCAGTACCTCCTATTAGTTTGTGTCTCCGTTCATCTATCAAGAGTCTATCATGAACTACTATCCAGAGGAATACCTGAATCCTTTTGGGTCGCTTCCATCCCAAGTTCTTCTTCCAAATGTCATTGTTCAATCTTGACTCACATCTCAATAGCCTGTACATTTTAGCTACAACCATCTCCTTACTGAATCTTGGTCCCCACCTTATCTCATCTCTCCTGAACTCATCCCCCAGCACAAGCATTGCATGCAAGAGATTTTTCCCTTCCTCATCTAACAGGTGTTCAATAATTTGCCACACTTTGTTCTTTATTTAGCTTGTATTTGATTTGATTTTTGAATGATGTAGGATTATCAAGATATCTATGTCATCATTGATCAATATTCTATGGACGAGTCTAAATTGGAAACTTATTTGGAAGAACTAATACTAAAGCCTGCTAAATAGAAAGATTTGGATGTCTTAAATTGGTGGAAGAACAATCAAGTTTGATTTCCAATTCTTTCAAGGATGACAACTAATATTTTGAGTATTCCAATCACAACAGTAGCTAGTGAATCATCTTTTAGCATTGGTTAACATGTTCTCACAAAGTATGGAAGTCTCACTCTTCTAGCTAATCTTCAAGCTCTTATTTGTGCTCGCAACTAGTTATATGAATTTACATATAGAGGTAATTTACTAATTTATATGTATTTTGTTAGAGTTCTTTATGCTTTTAATTATTCAACTGGACAAACATAATTAGTATACTTACTTGTCTATGATTTTGATTTATTATTTGTTGTAGAGAATGCATGTGATATTGATGATGGAGAAGAAATCATTGATATTTTTAGCAGTTAATAAGAGCCTATTACTAGTGAAGTATTGTCAAATGTTCTTGTAATTGATGATAGTGATGGTGAAGTTTCAAAAAATGATCATGCCGCTGTCAGCTGATGCCTAATGTTGCTTAATGTTAACTTAGTGTTTGTTTATGTCTTCTAGGTAGTGTTTGTCTATCGCAGTGTTGATGAAACTTTTGGATGTTCTTGTTTAGTTGATGGATGTTTTAGATGTTCTTGGGTGTTGATGAATGTTTAGATATGATAATATTTTGTGTTTGTAACTTTATTTTATTCATATTTATGCCTTTTATTAGTAATATCACTGTTTTGTTTTTTTCTTCTTTTTTTTTAAAATAAAACATATGAAAAATATTAAAAAAATTACATTTTTTTTAAACAGGTAAAAAATTGACGGGTTGGCCTTGAGCCGTTAGCTCAAGGGCTAGGCCTAGCAAAATGAGGCATTATGGTGTGCGGACCTAAATGGGTTGATGGGCTGGCCCATTTTCTAGATCTTATAATGTTTATTGAAGTGGTCTTATTAAAAAGATCTTGCCGCAAAAATCGAGTAGGACAAAGTCATGACCAATTAAAGAAAGAATACATTTTTTATTAGGAAAAAAGAATACATTATATTTACTTAACCTAATGATAATATCATTATTAGTCCGTGAAAACATGCCTTATTATTATCATTATTAGTCCGTGAAACCATTGAATTGTAAGGGAGCATACTAATTTCTTAAATGTGATTGTTGTCAATGCTTTTTGAGCATATTTTTTTAGTAGCCATGCTATGCATTGTACGCTACCATTATATAATATTTTAAAATTTATGACATATTTTCTAGATAACATACTATTATAAAATAGAAAATTTTATGTGAATTACATAAGAATTTTATATTTGACTAATTATGGTTTAAGATAATTGAATAATTAACTCCAATAGAATAACAGTCCCTTGGGGCTTAATTGCTAGTTCATGTCAAATAACATTCATCAATATCAAATTTTCTAAGTAAACACCATACATCTAAATATGCAATTAAGTCAATTGAATAATTTATTTAAATAACCCCACCATCAAAACTAATAAATATTTAGATTTATTTTGAGCACTCAATCTTGCTAATTCACAGCAAATACAATATTAACAAGACACATAAAGCATTTCCTTGCATAAACATATGGCACTTCAGGATCAATAGGTTCATTATTTTTTGAGGACAAAATAAAGAGCTTAAAATTTATTGTCGTGCTCAATAAATCAAGTCAAAACTTCAATTTTTAAGGTTTTATGATAAATTCTTCCTTTAAATAGTAAACTATTTTTCTCAAAACATTTCAGGAGTTTTAATAATTACCCATGTATATGCCATATTTTTATCCAAATCTATTTCTGTCGATAAATCACATCACTTTCAACTCACACGGAAGTTACATAGGTGTTTCAATTTTTTTTGGGAAGACTTTATATGCTCATAGCATTTTAAATTTTTATTGGGATTCAAGTATAATTTCACTATATAAGAAGCTATAGGTTATAACTATATTTCCTAGACACATCAAAATTTTTGTATACATTCAGGTTGATAAGACATCTGAATGTTTAGTTCATCATAAGATAATTATCAATATTAGACTTTTGTGAAAGTTATTATGCTTTGTACAAGATCAAAATGAGCATACATTTGGCAATTACCAATGCAAATTACATCCTCCTCCTTGCGGTTCTATTTAAGATATTTTTAACCGAATCACCTGAATTAAGAAAAATGAGTAAAATTAGTTAAGAGTATTGTCTTCTTAAAGAAACTACTATAACATTCTCAAATTACTCTTAAGTAAAACTATTAACTTACGCCTTCAGATCTTAAAGTCAAACATGCTACCCAACTGAACTAATTCACAAGTGATTTACTAAACTTTATGAAGTGTTTTTTTACGGTTAAAGACCAACTATGACTTTTAAAAGATAATAAGAATGTACAAAAGAAATATTTGGGGGGGGGGGAGGTAAAAATGAATCCAATATTTTATGCCAAGAGATGGTAGCTATTTAAAATAATCAGACATTATTCCTAGGCCAAGTAGGAGTTGTCTTTATACTTGAATAAAACCAAGGAATATTCTGTTTTCCTTTCTCATGCTTCCTTAATCTTATGCCAATTGATTGAAAATAAGTCATAAAACAAAAAACAAAAAACAAAGAGAGGACAAGAGGAAGAAGTAGGTGTGAAGTGGTTTCCAAGTTTGGGAAGGCCGGTAGGAAGAGGCGCCTGCAATGCCAATATTGAAGTGAGAATGAACGAAACATATATAATTAAGGAAGGGACAGGAACGAGGAAGTTGCCTGGAAATGATATGTAAAGCTGTATGAAGGAACACCAAACTTTGTCCACAATCCGAATCTTCTTGACTCCCTAACTTCTGCTTATTTCGAGGGCCACCCATCTATCCACTTTCCCTTGTCTTCCTTAAACTATATAGTACTCCTCCGGTTCTTAATATAAGACCTATTTAACTAATTTGATTAGATTAAGAAAGTTAGGTAAGTTAGTTAATTATAAGAAAAGTGACATATTTTTTTTAAAACACCGTAATCATCTTTCTTAATACCCAATCTCCCTCTTCTACTTGATTATAGTTGAAGGAATATCTATAAGAGTAATTTAGAGAAAATTGATAAATATGAAAAATGAGCCTTATATTTAGGACCAAAACCAATTCAACAATTGGGTCCTATATTAAGGACCAAAAGAGTATATACTAAATGAAATAAAATCTCATTCATCAAATAACTATTAAAACAAAGTTAACTACTACGGCTGCTAAACTATTATTTCCACATGCATACATCTCCCCTTTTCATCTTTATTTCATCCTTCAATCCCATATATCCATCCAAATACTGAGACGAACGGGACCAAGTTGTCTGTACTAAAGGGGTTCGTTTTTTAAATTATCTATCCGTTTGGCTTATTTTTGGTCATTATACTATGTTCTGAGCACTTCATTAGTTTTGATGGTGTCATCAATGGTCATAAATTAAATGAGATATTCAATGGATTGAAATGAGGCAATGGCCATCCCCAAAACCACTCCCGCTCTTTCAGAAAACATCCGCGTCCCGACTTCACTGATCTTTCCGCCGCATGTGTAGAAAACTATGCCGCCCCACATTTGACTCTTTGAATACTGCCTGTCCCCTTCCTTCCCATTGCTTCCTCACTTGCGGCCATTCTATTTAACTTTAATTTAATGTTGTGTGGCCTTCATTTCGTCTTCAACTTTCACTTTCACGTTTCAAGATAATTATCCCTCTCAAATCGTAATCAAACATCAATTTTTTTATATTACCTTTCAATTCATTCAATTTTATAAGAGTAGACCCAGGTTTCTATAGTATTTTATGTTATTTAGTGGTAACTTCTTAGATCCAATATCTAATTTAAAACACAAAGACGCCGCATCCTAGTGGAGCCGAATTGAGCGCGACCCACGAGACCCCACGTAAAACCCCACAAGTATAAATACTTAGACGAGAGCCGACCAAAAAAAAAAACAAAAAAGGTGAAAATTGTAAAGAATGAAGGGAAACACTATAATAATACTAAGGAAGTCATTATATACAAATGAGTTGCGTGCGGTGTAAAGCTGAAATAGGATGTGATGTGCCCCTAACCAAAACCTGTCTTCGTCACTAAAAATCCGATGCTGATCACAAACCCGGCCACTAACTAACGACCTCTTTCGTCAAAGTCCCCCATCTGTCCCAATTCAACACTTTCCCTCACACATAACGCGTTTAGAATGCAGTGGCCACTTTCCCCATCAAACTCCAGCTGTATTATTTTCATCCCCCAAAGGCCCACTCTAGTTTTAGTTCCACCAACCCAAAGCTAACAATAACAACTACCATATCACCAAATTCCTCACCTTTGCTTCTTATGTACACTAAGCCACAGCCTGAAGCAAAGAATAGAGCATCTTCTTGTGCGTGTTGATATATGTATATGTATAGAAGTTGCCCATATCTTGCACGCTTCTAAATTCCCTCTGCTTTTTTTTTTTTTTTTTCCCTTTTAGGAACATGATCTGATCAGTCCTAAATTGTATAAGTTCCTTCTCACGAGGCTACCCAGAGATAACAGCACTGTCCCACCAACTCCTGCTGCTTGATCTGGTTCTTCTTTCTCTTCTGTCTGGTGACGCGTCAAGGGTAATTCTTTCACTTTCAAATTGCTTGGACCAATTTTGTGTCTCACGGATTCGATGATTTTGGGATCGGCTGGATTCCCGGTTGCGTCCGTTACATAGAAAACATTTGCTGCCGTCTCCATTACGGTGGATATCTCAGCCCTCGTCACGTTCAGTCCGTTCTCCCGGAATGTTCTCATTACCTCTGCCAGAAGTCCTTGCTTGTCCTCAGTGCATAATTCTAGTCTAATACCCTGTGATTAAGCAAATTACCGTTAAAGTACATCAACTTTACACGTAAGTGGAAAAACAAAACAAAAACAAAAAATATGTTTTTACCTCAGATGCTCTTCTTTCCACGGCAGCCTGTAAGCACTGGATTACACGTTGACGCTCTGGTTCTGAACTAATTGGACTGCCATCTTTATGTCTGATGTAAAATTCCTGGAGTGACAATTTTAAACAGGGTTTAAATACATAAACCAAGCTACAACAAATTATGATCATTAATACATTAATTATGATGAAATTTAAGAGATATGAGCATATTTACCTGGTATGCTTGATCTCCAGTTGTGGTGATAGTTGCGTGAAAAACAACATATTCCATGTCCGTCAAGTTGCAAACAACATCGAAAAGGAGCTTTGTTCGATCGTTGCATTGAATACTCACAACGGAATAGCCCCTTTCTGCCCAATTCTGAACGGTGACTACTGGAATATCGGAACTTGCCTTGAAAATGGGGTTCCTCTGGTAATCACGGTCGGCAAACATCAGTTGATGGAGCCTTCTTTCAGTGTGTATTGCAGCCATAGAGACCGAAGTTCTCGCACTTCTAATGTCATTGTCTCCCTTCAATACATTCCTTAATCGTGCCTCAATGCCATTAATTTTCTGAGAGTCCTCAATGGTGGACCCCGAATTGCAGTCTCTGACGTAGATGAGGGATGCAATTCGGCCATTGTGAGTCCAAACCTTAGCCTCTACTACGTCACATTGTAGATCGGCCAGTACTGCAAATACCTCTGAAAGAAGACCAACACGGTCTGTTCCCGTTAACTCCAGTGCAGTGAGACCGTTTGAAATACTGGTTCTGCCATAATGAATGCTGCCGAGTGACTGTTGTGAACAAAGAAACAAAGAGTTTTATATTAAATTAATAAATTAAATACGCGTTAAATGCGATAAATATTAATGAGTTACAAAGCAATTAGTTCAATTTTAAATTAAATTACATACCTGTTCCATATATCTTAAAACGCTCTCATCTGTTAGCTTGTTTCCGTTTTGATCAGTAACATGGAAAACTGCCGATCAAGTGATTACAAATAATAATTAGCAATAGTGATTGAAACAAAAACGGGAATGAAGACCCGCCAGAGTGTAGCATCCTAGCAAAATGAAGATAGGGAAATAACCTACCATCCATGAACCATTTGCCATCAGAAGATACGTACGCCTTTTTAATGGAAAGATTCAAATCAGTGAGCACTTGTACGGCATCCAAGAGAATTCCATGTCTTCTAGCGCTATCGAACTGTGAAATTCGATCAAACTAGAGGTTATTAGTTTATAAGTGTCAAGAGGACCAAAATTTCTCGAATTTGGAAGATTATCGTTCAAGGTTACCTTGACCAGAGTCGCTGTGGAGCAGACACCATTGTCGATCACAACCCTGTTTCGCAAGAAAGGTCAAAGTCAGTTAAATTACTTTTTTATTTCCGGATTTCATGTTTGCGACCCAAAAAAAATGTCCGATGTGAAGAAAATAAAGTCTAAAAAGGAAGGAAGACTAGACACGATAATAAAAGTCAGAATAACGCTAAAATATTGATGATGAACAAATCAGGTTTAAAAGTCGGTGGAAACGGAAAAGTTCTATTCATTCAGTTCATACTTTTCTTTGGTTTCTGGTCCATCATTCTGTTCACACCAATTAGCAATTACAATTAGGAAATTTAGCACCAAGGATAGCAGGATGAGGTTCAAGTTAGAGATCAAAGCCGAAAGACATTATTGCGAATGGAAGGAAATCATACGAAATATGAAGCCGCAACGGCATTTTCCGTTTTGCCAAAAAGATCTTTCTTCGGAGCAAAAGAAATCAGAGCGTAAAAGTTTAAAAAAAAAAAATCGGAAAACTAATTCGAATATTTCCTGCAAAATTAAAAAAAGGTAGCCAGAATTCCAGTTTGACAGCACGCAAAACCAAGGAGCACAAATATCAGGTAAAAAACCACATCAAACAACAATCACATTCAATGAATTCGCACACATACAAGCAGTTCCAGATAATTCATTGCACAAATCACACATCCACAGCCTGAAATCAGCTAGACTAGGGGGGGGGGGAACCTAAAAATCAGGATTCATCTTACAAATAAAGGAAGACGAAGGATAATAGACGGACCTGGGAGAGCCCATCCGGATTACAAGCTTTTCGTATTCATCTGCACAGGCATACCGCTCCATGTTTACGGCAATTTTAAGAGAATTTGCCTCCAATCTCGATAATTACAACGAAAGAAGACTTAACCACAAGACGAAGAAGCTCCGAAATCCGTCTTCCTCAATGGTCAGATGCAGCAGTAATTCAAAAGAAACAAAGGAAGACAGAACGCCGGCTCTGCCACGAAAGCCACCGCCACCGCGTCTTTATCTGAGAAAAATGCCAAGCAGACTACAAGACTCCGTATCTTATTGACAATTCTTCGACAAAATCGCCATAAATCACTGCTATCAAACTCTCACCTTCAAATCCGCGTTAGGAGTGTGCAAGACTTACTCTCTTTCTCTCTGTATATCTCCCAATGTTTCTCTCTCTTTCTCTATTTCCCTGGGCTACCGCGGAACACGCCTTTTGTTGTTAACCCTGTCTCTGAAACCATCGCATTAATATATATTTATTCGAAATATACTCCCTTTTCAAAGGGGGAAAAAAAAAAAAACTACTTAGTTAACTAATACAGTAATAATTAGTTTAGAATAAATCAAATCATGCCTCTTCGCATGAGACGATGGGGCGCGGGAAGGAGGGCTGCCCGAGAGGCTGCCCGGGCTGACCCAACTGCCATTCTCTCTGGATCTAACAATGTTGGGTGTCCAAGTGGAAAAGCCAAGGGGACACGTGTCAGGGGCCCTCGATCCCGATCGTTTCCGGTCCAGCTCGGACGACTCGTCGGATTGCTTTGCTTGTCCAACACTCCATGAAGAGTAAGTGACCGTAAGCGTGGCTTTGATGGACGGCGGAGATTCTCCCACGTCATACATTGGACCTTTGTTCCAATCGAGCTAACTTGGGAATTAAGGTCCGATTTGCCGACTTCAATGATAACGCAACGACCGACCACAATTCCTAATCTTCCCTCCCTTCGTGATAAAAAAAAGCCCTCCCTTAATGATTAAAAAAAACATACTACTTATAAGTTACTTTTAACATATTTTATATATACTAATAAAAATATTAAATTTATTAACTTTCATTTAAAATTTAGTAATTTTTTAATTTTATTTATATTTAATTTATATTATATCTTATATAAACAAAATCAACACAATAATAAATGAAGGGTAACTTGTTCATCCATAAAAAAAAATTTCTCTCAGTACCCTATAAATAGAACAAAAAAATATTTTTTGTCTCTGCTCTATAAATAGGACCAAGGGAGTATACAATAATCGCAACACTCTGTCTAGTCTTTTTTTTTTAATGGGTAAAATATAAATAAATTATGTATATGAAAAAAATTGGTTAAAATTAATTAAAAAAATAAATGTGAAAAGAATATGTATATTTTTTTAAAAAAGATACTCTTATTTATAGAGAATATGAGTGAGGAATAGAATGGATGGGTAAATTATTATAATTAATGCAGAGATACATAACGAATTAGAAATAAACATGAAAAAATATATTGAATTACATTTTTTGGTCAAAAGAAATTCTATTTTATTAAAGATGTTAAAAGAAAATACACACCAATAACTAAAAACCAAAAAAATCTCAAAAAATTCTAAAATTATTTATTTTTACATGTTTAGTTATCTAATTTTATATTAAATATTAATTTTGTCCTTTAAGTTTATAAGGTGCATTAATTTTGATATTGTAGTATCATTATTATTATTATTCTTTTGATTCTTTAATATTGTTATTTTTATATTTTGAAATTTAAGCATCTTTTGTCATTATTTAAATTTGGTAAGTTAGCATTTTTCATTAAATAAGACTAACAGTATTAAAATTAAGTGACTAAAAATATATTTTATAAAATTAAAAGACTAAAATAACTCATTAAAAATTGGGTTAAAGTATATCAACCTGATAAAAAATTTGTGCAATTATAGAGATTTGTCACAGGATTAACTTTTTGAAAGAAAATTACTAAAACGTTCATTATTATTATTATACACTAGTAGCTATTGCCTTTATTGGTGTGAGGGAGGGGTTTTGTTGGGATACATTTTGGGATTACCAAACTTTCCAAGCCATTGGGGCTATGGCGGCGAGGAATGGTGGGGGTAATTTAAGATTGATTGGAAGTGAAGGGAAGTTATGAAAATGTGATTAAAGAGTTAGTTATGGTGAAGATTAAGAGCCAGCGTACAAACTGAGGGACTATGGTTATTATGAGTATTCTTCTTGTTAGTAAAATATTAACCCCTATTTCATACAAAAATGTAAAATTCGTAAAATTAGCTAATCTTATCAAATTCATAGTTAAACATAGTAGTGGTTTTTTGTGTAAAAATTATTATGATCCGTCTCAGGTGAAAAAATATAATTACCAAAAATTTCAATAAGCAATATTGATGTTGTCGTTATCTTTTATGCCAAAGCTTGTAATTTACATGTTATAAAACTTTTTGATAATTAAACTCTTTTATTAAAACATATAATAATTTTTTTCTATTTTGTGACTTGCCTTTTTAGCCATCAGACTTGCCCTTGATTCATCATCAAGATTTTTCATTATGAATTCTAAATATTTTTCTCATACTTTAATTAATGAGAGGCATTTAAGGAAAACTATTAGGAAAATCAGGAAAAAAATTCTTCGTTAAAAGTTGTATTGGTAAAAAGAATATGATAAATTTTTATACACAAACATTGTTACTAATGGTCCTTAATAATATATTACAAAATATCATATAAGATAATTTTCAAGTTTTAATGGTACAAAATGATGACTAGTTCACTTTAATTAGATGGAATGATAACGATAATTTAAGTATAATAGACTCTCATTTTATTTTTTAAATGATGTGCGAATTCTAACTAAAAAATAATATGAGTGTCGCGCGCATGACAAAATAAGAGTAAAATGCTGGATAGAAATAAAAATCATAGTGTACGACATTATCCAAAAAAGACTATTCCACTTTAATTAATAATTGCTGAATTATTTAATAATTGAGTAAATGATGCACCTCCCATGATAAGCAGGGCGGGACGCACATATAATTAAAAAAGTGGAGAAAGGGAGAATACACGTAGGCAGCGGAGGAGGTTGAGGGTGGGAACTGGGAAGTAGCGAGTGGAGGGAGGAAGGGGCCAGCTGGAGAAGGGCAGGCTTTGGTCGGATGTTTCCCCGGGTTAGGGCGCAGCAACACCCTGCTTAACTACGCCTTCCAACCTGAGCGTCTCAGGAATACCAAAACTCACTTGCCCATATTCAGCCCGGGTTTGGCAGCAAGTATATTAGTAGTATAGTGCCCTAGGACCCAAAGCCCTAACCCCAACTTCATTAAAAAAAATTTTTCAGAGAAAATCAATAAAAGACTATTGTAGCATCTTATTTTCATAGTATGCAAACCCAAACCGACCAGGTAATCAGTTCAATTGACCATGTAGATTGGAGTCAAATTGACCCAGGAATGATCCGGTGTAAAGTGTAAACCGAACCAGTCTGATTAACCCATCTGGGTTGGTAGGTTAATCTAGTTACTTTTTTTATAAAAAAAATTTATTTTGAGCCAAAAACTTTTTCTTCTCTCTTAAACTATTGATAATTATTAGTTTAGTAATTAATAGATTGTTAGTAGGAATATTTTGCTATTATATATCTATTTTGATAGTTTGCTAGAGTTACTGGATTAATGTATAGTGATTTTTTTAATGTGATGCTCTACTACGATATCAATTTGTCAAATAAATTGTAAGTATATAATTATTTTGTTTGTAATTTAAGGTAATGAATTAATACATAGTCCTTAGATGGTATGATAAAAATTTAAATTATTTTTTATTTTTTTATTTCTTACCAGTTTGATCCCAAGTTGACTCCAGTTTGATCCCCAAATTGACTCTGGTCTAACTTACTAACCTTTAACGTACTGCCTTGACCGTTTCAGTAACCGATCCGGCTTTCAGTAACCTGCTTATTTTAAATGAATGATCAATAAATTTTGAGACCTTAGTTCAGACTTTAAATATTGAAATGAAAATAAGTTTGAATAGAAAATAATAAAAAAATAATTTAATAACTTTCATAATTTTTTATTTTATTAAATTACTTAATCATAGCATATCTTATATAACCTTTTCAAAATAATTATGTATATTATTATATTATATATCAATTTATAAGAGTGGTGAATTAATTTAGAGAAAAACAATAAATATAAATACTTTAAGGTAATTTATTAACTTTTTGTTTTGAAGATATCAACAAGATGACATGGTATTGTTCTTTTTTTTTTTTTTAACCAAAGACAAAATGCTATTCATGATAAAAGTAGTTATAAGTTACAAATACTTAAAACGTTGGTAGAATTATAATTAAGAAAACAAGGTTTAAAGATAACAACAATATTAAAGAGAGAAAAATTATGAACAAGGACAAGTATTTCTTGCCAAGTAATGTTGAGATGAGAGGCATCATTAGAAGAAAGCTGAAGAAATCTCTTCTCAACACAGTAAACTTGTACAGAGGGCTTGTCTGTAGTAATATGTAGGTTGGTGTTATAGATCTATAGAAGAGCAATTCGCAAGCATTTGCTGTGGAAAGCAGAGCCCTACAGAAAATTGGTTTTGCCACAAGAATTCTTTAAGAGTCATCCCCTCATAGCATATTGTACCATGACGATAGTATTTCCTCACTTTTTTTTTTTATATTTAAAAAGTAGCACATTCCAACCATTTTTGTTCAAGCTCAAACGAGAAAAATCACAAGGGGTACTGCTTCGAGAAGTAGAATGAACTAAATCTATCAAAAGCATAATCTATAAAGAAAACAGTGCTCTTGATTTCCTGAATCACAGTGATAAGATGATCTCTTTTCCCTTCACAAAGCAAAATGTTTCTCTTCCTCCAAATAGTCTATGAATTAGATAATTCAGCTCTATAATTGAAGAAATGAACCTCAGCTCCATAATTAAAGAAATGAACCAATTTCTGAATCCCTCAAAGGAAGAAGTAGAGAATCTTATTGAAAAACATCCAAACCAGAGAGCTTTAGAAAAAGGGCAAGAGATGAACAAATGCTCTAAAGTCTCATCCATGTCACAACCAAACATATATAGCCCTAATGTATTGAGGTGGTGCTTTTGTAGAATGTCAGTTGAGGGTAAAGCTTTATGCATAAGCTTCCAAATGAAAAGCAGCTATATTTATAAGGCAAATTAATTTTCCAAAAAAAGTTCCAAAACTCTGCAGGTGCTATGGTAGCAGTGTTTGAATTTCCATTCTAAGAAAGTTTATCAAGAAGATTTAAAATAGAGACTAGTAATTCAAGAATTTGCTTAGCAACATGCTAATAATAAACAGATTTGACCAAAGTGGAATCTAATTTATTAACTTTTTTAATCTCTCTAAATAAGTGAATTAGATTTTATATTAAGAACTAAGTAGTA